CAAACACGGCTCCCCTTCTATGTTTGGTCGTCAGTCCGTTGCAGGATAAGCAGGATCACCCATTAGACTTGGCCATAGTAGCCAATTCTTGGTGGGGCGTGGAGTTACTGCTGAAGAACGATTTTTCCGTTTCCATGTTTGCTATGCCAATTAGTTCTTGAGGAACTCGTTCATGTTTTCATACGTTCTGTTACCCTCCACTTCATGGTCTTTAGAACACAGTTATCGCACTGAGTAATTTATCTCGGATGCCAGAGGGAGGAAACTCCTCTCTTTTTCCACAAGGTATCACTAGTGCGTCGTCACTCACTGTCTCATTTTCTGTGGTGTTTCGTTGACCATCCTTAGATCACTGCATTCCGTCGAAGACATTATTTTCGAGATGATATTAAGCACGAATCCCCTGGTATACCGAATTTTGTCACGCTTCGGAAGTAATCTCATAGGCACAAGACTGTCTAACACTTCATAGTCGTGTGTATTCACGGACGGCACAGTCTGCATTTCAAACTTTCTTGAATTCCTAACATCTTGGTATTTTTGCGTTATCCTAGTTGTGGGGTGTTTATCTTGAATACAGTCCACTCAATAACCGACATTTTCATGTCGCGCTTCCACGTGGTAAACTCTTGTGTGGAGGATACCCTGCATCTTTGAGTCATATTCGAGTACGTAGTAGTCAGTATGATTAGGAAAAAATATTTCCAGCTAAAACGTTGAAACTTGACAACACACCAGTGTAAACACGGATCCTACTGATGAGGCATGTGAGTAGTATTTGGCTCTCTCGTAGCTCCGCCTCATGTCCAATGGAAGGTGGGTTTTTATGACGAAACTTGTGGAACTGCTTTGCAGCGTTCGTTTACAATTGCGTTATAGTCACTGATTGTCTACGAAAGTTCAAGAAGACGCGTGAGAATGTTCAGTTTTCAAAAACAAGATGAGACGTTCGCCTCTCTGTCCAATAGTTTGTAGTTGTTTAGCTGGTGTTTGCTTATAAACGACTTCTCGATGAAGGGGTCTCCTCCGTACACCAGTAACAACTTGCTTGAATTCTTTTTTCCCCCCGTTAAATTGTGTTGTAGCACATTCACACTGCAGATTGATCAATAGACCTTGATTGACCTGTTTGTCATTCCGTGTTGACAACACGAACTCCTTGTATTAGAATGTGTTCTATCAGGTGCTACTTTGTTGTCTACTGAGTCTTTTCTATCACAGTTGAAATTTCACTGCTAAACTGTCGATTGATTGATGGTTTTGCGCTACTCAACCACCGACAAGGTCGGGGAGATTGAATGACTTGAATCAGCATCCTTTTTAGCTGTGAAGCTTCACCGCATTTGTTGGCGGTCGCCACTCCACGTCTGGCGTGCTCTCATGTACATGATAGGTGAGTATACCGATAGCCTTGTACGCATATCATTGGTCCATTGATGCTTAGAATGAAAAATTACAGAGTTTGTCACGAGTAACTTGCGTGACAAAGTAACTGAAGTCACGAGTTCCAATGATTGATTTCTTCCTGGCCGCTAATGTGCTAGGTTCGCAAACCGGCTTTAAATACTATAGGTTAGAAGACGTTTATTTTGATTTTCGAGGGTAATAAACTCGTCTCACGATGACGTGCGTTCACCTTCAGAATTAGGAACCACAGCTCCGGCTCAAGCGCTTCGGTTTGCAGGTCAGGCAGTTACTTGTCCTTGAATGTAGCAAAGAGGAGAATTCGCCATCTCACCTGACTCAGCTGATCCAGCTCTGGGTTTTCGTCTCCCCAGAATGTCTTCAATATAGTCGTACCAAATCGATTTTTTTAATCATGAACTAGGACTACAGCCATACCATAACTATTATTATTGTTATTATCAGTGAACTGGTCGAACCGACACATCGTCGTCTTTCAGCTGCAGCCCAAACCTAGACAGTGGAACTTTGAGAGGTAGAGGTCGGCTTGGAACCACGAACCTTCCGGTCAGTAAATTCGCGCTCTAACCACTTGGGCCATCGAGCGCTTGCCATTCATTGACAAAAACGCCATTATCGCCCACAAAGCCAGAGTCTCTGACCGTGAGCGGTACGTGCGATTTATCATCCTATGTTGTCAGTCTACTGGGTTGGTATGCCACCTCACAGCAAACCGGTTCAAAGACTCCTTACACCTCTAATCAGAACGTCCAACAGGGATATAATACTGTTTATCTGCCACTGATTTTGTCGTGTGTGAATAAAAATAAATTTATGTTAGCAAACCTGTCTGTTCGAATGATTACCGTTCATGTGATGGCTACTGCCACATTCCCCCCCCTAGATTACCACTTCTGGTTACAGTCATTTGGATCAGTTGCAATATCCTTGCGGACAATCTGTTGTAGTCTGCGTTATTCGTTTGGAAAGCGGTGGGTATTTCGAGGTTTGAGAGTGCGGAACGAGTACTTTGGAATCCACGCTACCGGTAAGAGATTCGAACCATGTCACTTGGATCGATTTTCGCGTGACTGCGATGCATGATGTATCGGATGGTCGTGGTGCACGCTCGACAAACTGCGAGATATTCATTGCTTCTTAGTGCTCATTCAAATGAATAATCTCAGTCACGAATGAAGTTGGGTTTCCGCACATTTGTGTCGCTTTGGTGGCTAGGCGTTCGAACTTCCCTTCTATTCTGCGCGAAATCTAACTGAATTGATGTGCCGTAGATTGTGGCTCTTAAACACAACTGCATACACTATCATTTTCTGTAGAAAGATGGAAGGCGGTTGCCCACAGCAATGTCAAGTTCCAAAAAGCGTCGTGTGAACTCTCGGGATGCTACTACAAGGGGAAGCAACACTAACGCAGATGCATGTTCCACCGCTAACAAGGGCTAGTGCTTCACTGCACGCGTACATTCATAATACCTATTACTTTGAATTACCATGTTCATTTGAAGCCGATTCTCAGCTACGCTATGAGGTATATGGATAGTTGTCTGTCATTCCGTACTTGGAGGGATTAGAGTAATCTGTTTGTGTACTCTTGGTGTGCGGAGGCATGCGAGTAGCATGTTTTCTTTTAAATTCGCTTTGCGTCTGTTGAAAATGGAGATCTGTTGCGGAATTTGTGGAGTCGCTTTGCAGCATTTGCTTGGATTTGAGCATTGAATAATTTGGGTCAATGAATATCCAGGAAAGTTCAGGAAGACGCGTTCAGGAGAAGATGGATGTTCAGGTTTTGTAAATAAGATGCAAACGAGAGTTTTTCTTCCCTGTCCAATAGTCTAACTGGTCAGTTGGCATTTTCTAATAAATAACTCCGCTCCGCAGCGCTTCTTCCTTTCATTGGTAGTCTATAAAATGTAAAGGCGTTGGTGGCAAACTAATCCACAATTTTTGTGAGGGATTATACTTGACGTCGTGAACTGTGAGGCACGACGTTTGGTTGCTTGATCCTGTCGTTACCTTTTTCTTAAAGTCATTTTCAAGTTGACAGTCTCTGATTTTCGCTTCGACCACCAAGTAGTCGTTTGATGGATTTGGCCAGGGGTCAGCAGAAAACTCAATGCGGCTGGGACAAAAGAAACAACGGTCCTGAGGCTGTACTCAACCACGCGTACGGCAAAAAATACAATAGTAAGTGAATGTCAAATTTGTGATAGGACAAGAATAAACCACCAGACGAGAACAATCTCGTGCCTTTAATGCGTTCCTCGTATAAAGCATTTGATAAATTGATTTAATTTGGAATTTAAAGGGTTGGTTTTCAGTATAATCCACCTGCGAATGTCTTATAACCAGATGTACCTGGGAACAATTACATTCAATTCCTCTTTTTCCCGTCACATTTGAATATATGGTTGTTTTGTGAGGTTGACATTTTTCAACTCAATTAGTTGATTTTTCAAATCTGTGAACACAGCGTATCCTTCCTGCTGGAATAGATCGTTGAGTCGGAATATGGGAACACTTTCCCAGCCAACTGTGTTAATATTGTGCTACTGTTTTACCAGCGGTGAATTGTAACAACGAAAACAGTCATGTTCGGGATTTTGGCATCAGTGACACGGGGCTGAAGCGTAGATTATCGCCGGGTCCGGCTTTCCATCTATTTGGCTTTTGCTCAGTGCTTGTGAATGTAGGCTTCTTGATGACCCTCCATAGGGCTTCGTTCCGTTACTCGTTCCTGTTTGTACTCTTGGCGATGCTGATTCATAATTTGGAAATAGCGAAATTCCGTCATGGCCGTTTTCGGGCCCCGTATCTCTCCTATGCTCTTCTTCAGAGGGTATTTCAATTGGAGGTCTCGTCCTGTGGTCGTTATGCAAAGCCTGAATGCGAGTAAGACTTGCATGTGGAAATGGACGTCTAGATAATGCTGCTTGGTTCTGTAGTGTATCGGACATCCCACCCGACTCCACTGGATTCCATTTCGATCGAGTTTTTGTGATCGTTTCGCTGTGACTCGGTATCCGTTTCTTACTGAATCGCTTTCTGTTTCCCTTACCATCTTCGTCGGTCTCACCAACCCAAATGTACGGTAAACTCCGATCAGAATGGTACTTATCTTTCACGAGTTTTTGCCACAGTTGAGATCGGTCCGCTCTGTCTCTGTGTTCTCTTTGTTTGCGTTCTGTCATTGTATAGATCAGATATGGTACTAAAACGACAGTCACTCCCAACAGAGCGCCAAAAACTGCAACCACAATGGCATGTGTAAGTGTGTAGTTTTTCACCGGCTGCGCTGACTTTTGACCGGGACTGTGAATCGTGTTGTCGGCGGCCAAGACTGAAATGAATGAGGAAATAAATTTTCATTCACCGACTGACACATTTTGATGTGTGTCAAAGCATGAATCAGTAGACTCACTTTCCGCCACGGGTACAAATTGATCGCTGTCACAACGTTTAGCTTGTACAACTTCACAATCCAGGCACTTCTCGCGGGCTCTGACTCGAACATCGTAATCCAGTCCTGATGGCCGAAAGCAGTCTGACCAAGCGGCCCAAGGTGTGACGTCTGCTTTCCGATTGTACGCTTAATAGGATTTCAAGGCAAGTAGAAAATGGAATCAGAATAGGCAATCCATGATAGGCTAAACAAAGAACAAGCTACAGGAGTAGGTCATTATGGAATAGGTGGCGAAAGTTGACAGGTTTCGTCCATAAATAGTGCCTTTTGAGAACACTGAGGTTGACAGTGAACGATTCAGAATTAAGACCGCGAGGTGAATGTACTGGGGATAACGTTTTGGTGCCTAACGGGTAGGGAGAACATCTATCACAGTAATGACAGGAAGAACTGTCAGACACCGGCAACTCGTTTAATGAGAATAGCTGAACAGCTGAACGACCATCAGCGATTGTTTCGTCCTTTCGTGGTGAAGTTGAGGTTCTAGTTTCTTTGTGACAGAATGGCAATTGGCTCGGAAAGAATGATAAACAATGAGGTTGGATAAATTGAAAAAAATGTTTCAATCCATCCACTTACCACTCGTTGATTCCGATGTGTTTCCGTCGAGCGGCATCATTCGTTTGGATTTCAGCATCACATTGACAGCGGTATTTCGACATTGAACATCCTCCACGGTAACCTCACATGGCCGAGATTGCACGCTGTGTTCCTCGCCACCACTGCACAGGTTTATATCTGGTGATTCACCGAACGGAAGAGTCAACGAGCTGGGAATTAGACAACTCCTGTACCGGCGCTGTTCCCCACGGTTTTCTGAGCACGGTGGTTCTGTGCATGCACTCCACTGGGTCCAGCAACTCCAGTGACCTTCAAGGAAGACAAACCATAATTGTCGTTATAGGTGAGATGCAATATCCTGAATTTCTAATCAAGGTAACGAATTGTGTCTTTCATTATGTCAGTTTCCTCATGGTGATGTTGTTATGGACTTCACTGTCTTTCCGAAACGACTAGATTGTTTACTATCCTCAAGAAATCGAAGCATCATTGCCACCAAGAAGAGGAATCTTGCTTTCCAGACAAACAGGTCTTTCATACCGTAATCTTGTGCACAACACCTTTCCCCTATTCTTCCGGACAGTGGGCATCAACTCTTCTGGTAAAACACTGGAATGTATGGAAGATATTAGGAGAAACGCACCCTTGTAGTTGACAATGTGCTTTTGGCTTACATGCAAACTTCCAGTAGATAATTCTGAGTTTCTGAGAGCTCTTTTTCAAATCGGTTGATCATTATAGACATATTCGTTTATGAGCGGATTCATCCATCATCACTCAATTTCGATAAATGCGGTAAGTTACATTATTTCGTAAAATACGGCGGTATATGGGAGCACTGGAAATCAGGCATTAGTTTGAATGGATGTCCCGGCTCCATCGGTCTTATCGAATACCATATTCACGTGCAGAGACGTCAGCTATTGTAACCTATAGAAAGATTTGTGTTTTCTTTCGGTGATGAAAGTGTACGAAGCCCAGTAACCTTTCGTTCATTGCCTGAATCTTGATGAATTTCATGTTTCGAATACAAAAAATCACCGAATCTGGAGCGGAGGGAAACAGAAGAAGGGCGTACCTGGGCAGGAGTGTGTGTTGCATGCTTCTTCCTGTTTGTCCACCTCAGAGTTTTGACTTTGTTTCCCTTTTGTCGTTGTCGTTCCTTTGGTTTTTCTCGGACGCCATCGAAATCGCGTTCCACCCCCGCACGGTCTGCTGCACACAGTCCATACGGACCAACGATTTTCCAGATTCGCCTCCAGCCACGATTCGCTACCGACAGTTTCTTTGGCTGAACCGGTCGCTAGAGGAGATGTTGGTATTCAGTGGAATTCCAGTGTTAGTTCTGTTTTGTTTGCATTTGGTATGATAACAGCCATCAAATTTTAGAAAGTATGAACAAAAAATGCTTCCACGTTTTGGCTGGTTGCCTCAAATAATTGAAACCCAAGAGAACAAAACAAGTTAACCAATGACATTTCAAATACCTCTTTTGCATCCGTCAATATGCATCCAAGACCAAGCAGTGAATTCTGTTTCCCCAAGGCTCGGTTCTCAGTAATATATATCTAGTTTAATTGCAAATGAGTGTGTATTGGATAATTTCGTGCAATTTGGCTTCAAGTAGAACATGAGGTTGACGGGAACTTGGGGACTACGCCTACCTGATGAGCCCAAAGAAGGGCAAAACCGGTCGTGGGCTGTCGTGGAGTTTTCAGCAACCTTATGAGTAGTGCATTACAAATAGGTACTTAACTCTTATATCCGACCAATCTTACGGCTTTAGAGGTATATGTAATTAATGCCGGTCGTTTCTTCTGGAGCCCACGTTTAGGTGTATCAGGATATGAGGACAGTTCACGTGATACGAAAGACGGATCCGTTCCCACTGTCTACCACAAGAAATGCACCACATTCATTGTGAAAATGCCGAAACCGGTTCGGATTTCTCCACTCAGAGAAGAGGGTTTTAGATGGCAACTAACTATTTCAGTCAGCACAAGGGAGTGCGGTGTCCCAAGGTCAATCCAATCCCAATGATTCAGCAGACTAGATTATGCTCAGTTTTTAACAAGCGGTCAATAATGCTATTCGCATAATCGTTCAGCCGTAACACCCCTTCGGTGTCTAGCCACCATTCCACACGAAGATAGAGGTACTACCAGTGAAAGGAAGAACGCCTTCGCTGCGGAGTTATTTATTAAAAAATGTCAACTGACCAGTTACAGTCTATTGGACAGGAAAGCTAAACTCTCATTACCATCTTATTTACAAAAACTGAACATCCATCTTCTCCTGAACGCGTCTTCCCGAACTTTCCTGGATATTCATTGGCTGTTGCTCAAATCTAAGCAAATGCTACAAAGCGACTCCACAAATTCCACAACAGATCTCCATTTTCAAGAGACTCAAAGCGAATTTACAAGAAGAAAAACATCCTACTAGCATGCCTCTCCCATCAGTAGTATCACCGTTACACCAGGTTACTGAAGCTTGGACAGACTTCGTTGAGATACTCCAAGATACTCGAACCACTGACGTTCGCTCCACAACCACTGAACTACATCAAGCTTAAGCGACCATCCAGAGGACGGCGAAGCGTATCACCCGGATTAATTAAAATATGCATTGGTGAAATTTTTTTGAACAAATGTACAAAAACAGGAACTGCAAAAGACCACCACTTCAGGCTCCATACTCTTCGTTAATAAATTTCCAATTCGACTACAACTGAAATGACTTACTCGGCTCCTGACAGACCAACACTCCGTTCGCATCAATTTCGCATTCACCATTTTGCACCTGCATAGTTGCATGCAGCTTGTCTACTTCTGGGACGTTTGCCACACATTCCACTCGGTAGCATCGTTCCAAAGTTCCCGCGGCCTTGTCGCCTTCAGCTACATACCAAGTGGTCCAAGCCGAGGTCACCTTGTTCACTGAAATTAGGACATTCGATGAATTGTTACGTTTCCTATGGGCTCGAGAAAACAAACAACGCAAGTGGTTTTCGCAGCTAGGAACTCTTAATCATGTTTCCTATTTGGAGTTTTGGTTGTGTAGATCAGAGTGAACCTATGCTCATAGGCGTTTCATTCTCATTTAGAGTCACCAGTAATAAGCATCCAATAGTCGTGATTCATGATAGACAAGCTGAACGTGGTTCATTCTGGTTCATTGATCGGCAGTGACTGGTGGTTGATCATATGGTATTTGCTCTGTTCACCGGGTTTGGCAGTTGGCTTGCAAACGTGTCGTCCTTAATTGTGGGGACGTCGTCAGTGCGCAGTCGAGTGGGTGTTTCCTTCGTGCCTGGCTTCGTTTATATATATTTTTGTGATCATCTGGTATCCTGTCATGTGATTGACTAATTGGTGTGTTTCTTGTGATATTATTGGCCGAATCGTGATTTGCTTTGCGTTGTGGTCTGTGGACATACAGACTACGTCAGTACTGCTCAGAATAAATAATCTCAGTGCCCGATTCAGCTGGGTTCCAGGTGAGTCTCTCGCAAAACCAAATTTGTTTGCAAATGGGTGTATTTTGCTAACCCCAGTGCATCTTACTTTCCCCCAATATTGACTAATTATTTTACTGACAATCATTCTAATGAACTAGTTTTCAGTGTACAGATTTCTGGTAGCCTTTTAACGGCTACACTTGTCATACTAGTGGACGATTTACGGGCTCATTATTGGGCAATGCTTCATTTACGGTGTTATTTGTTGTAACTTGTCACACTCCTGACCGACCGGTTAAACTCATTGTTCTATTTGTGACAGTTTGTTAGAGTATCTGGTTGGTGGTCAATAACTGACGCGGTCAAAAAACAATTTTCGGTGAACTGTACATCCAACGACTTGACTGTAGTGTGGGTTTGCTCGATATGTGTCGACTGTGTCCCACCAAAAAGCTGTATCAAAACGCAGTGACACAGGCGGTCACCACTTCGTTCTCGTCGGAAGTTCAAGACCATCCTGCTGATGAATGAAACCTTTGATTATTCTCTTGGTGGCTTTATACTAAATGTTTGTTGAATCATATTTAGGTTCTGAATATGATTATGAGTATAGTCCGATTTATCAAAATAACTGTCATTAGTATCTGAAACCCAAGCTCATGCCAACCAGAAGAAATCTTCAGTTCATCAGAAATGATATTGGTAAGTGATGATCAACGCAATCATCGTGGTAAGCACTATTCTTATTGCCGATAGGTGACATAGTCCAAACCGAAGCAGCCGAGTTTTGCAGAATCCGATAGTCCCGATCGGGTTTAATAAATTTATAGAGCAAAGTAAACCGTGTTTGAGTGCTGTTCATCTATGCATGTGGTACATTGGTGATTTCAATCCATTCTTGTTAGTTTACCTCACAGAAAGATACAGTAGGGACGGAGTAAGATGGACCTTTGAACTATCTGACAGTAGTTCTCAGCGCGCACGATCAACATGATATCTTGGACGTGTCCCACCAACTGATGACAAATATATTCATTCCACCTACGCAGGATCATGTCTGAACAAAGAAAGGTGTTTTGAAGCAGTGGATCTAGTTCATTCATTTTTCAGTATGGCGAAAATCTAAGTTATTCATATAAATGTGCCCACTGGTGATATTCGTTGTATGCAATTCACTGAAACCATACTAATTAGGTCGATAGGAACCCCTCGCTGTGCACAAAATGTTTTGTTCCAAAACGCACGCTTACTCTGCAAGTGATCTACCGGACATTTCGTTTTGGGAAAGCACTGTTCTTTCCCACTTTTGTGCCTATCTACTCTTACTCTGAACGTATGCATATTTTACATCTTCACCCGAAAAATAAATGTTACCTCCTCGTGTTTTATACCGACAGACTGTGTTCTGTCCCGATTCCTTATTCCCACTTGCACCAACGTAAAAAATTCGAACTTACCCGGGCAAGGTTGTGTATTACATTCTTGCTCTTCAAAAGCTTCCCCAAGGCACAATGTCTTGTCCAGCGATGCCCTAATAATCTTTTTGTAGGTCGATTTATCCAGTTTTGGTGGGGCACTTTTCATTTCCTCTCGACCACACTGGCGCCATCGGATTCTTCGCCCACCATTACAAGAGGTCGAACAATCGGACCACTCGGACCATTGTGACCAACTGGGAGTTGGAAGATTTTGTTCTTCAAGAGAAGGGAAATTGAAAAGTTTGTGGACAAAAATCCTCATGGTTGGCGGACGCAGAAACCATTGAACCAACTAGTACGCAAGTCAGCCAAATCGTTTATTTTCAAATGTTCACCTAAATTGTTGGAAGCGGAGTTGTGGCAAAGAAAAATGTCGACAGCGTGACAGCGTGCACAAAATCCGATTCTAGTACTTCCCCTCATTAGAGAGTTTGTATTTGGAATATATGCCTGAATCGACTTCCCAGACCTGTTCACTGGTCTGCTTTCTGAGCAGGACAGCTGTGTTTGGGGATCCGTCTACGAAAACCTGAAATTACAGTGTCGCACCAAGTGGCATATAAAAAACTATGTCTCAATAAAGAAATAAATATACGGTCCCAATAGGCCAATCCTCGTTAAATGACTACCGTTTTCGATGCCGAAGGTTGAACAAATCCGATGGTGTTCGGAACTCAGAAACCTTGGATGAACATTCAGACAATTTGTGAAGTTTGGAGTTATCTCAACCCCAATAGGAATCGACGGAAAGTCCTTATCAGACATTGAATCGTACAGTTAACGTTGAGTGAACGGCTGGAGCTGCGTGGCTGGTGTACAAATTGTAGTTTGGATATTACGTGAAAACTTCCACACTTTTGGCTTCGTATTCTTTGGGAGATTGGTGATGACTTGGAATCAAATTTCGCTTGACTATTCAAATACAGTCCGGTTTTAAAACAAAGTATGTGGTTTCTGGGCGAATCATGGACTTCTTCTCTTATGAAACGTAGCACACTTAGCCGCCATAGAGCTATAATTCTCACTGACAAGTGCTGTTATGATGAAGTGCTCTCAACCAAACGGCTGGTCTTACAAGTCCCGTACCCAGTACCCTCGTTGTGTCTTTAAGGCGATGCTCGTAGGGCCCACGAGGAAGTTTATCAGCCCTCTTATAAGTGAGGCGGAAAAACCGACCTTCTGTACACAAGCCAGCTGGTTCGTTTTATGCAGGTTTACAGGCACTGAACATCGAGGAACCCGATGGATGGTTGGTGGATCATCTGATTGATTTAAATAAAAGTACGATAACCGTCTCCGCTAGTCGAATGGGTCAGATATAGAGTTGGATTCGGGTCAATTAGTTGAGTTCCCGATTGGGGCGCACCCGATTCTGGGAGGCAGGATAAATTGGCAAGTTGGTTGTCAAGCACCAATCTGTGCATTAAAGTTCCGATGACGTCTGCCGTCTCTAGTTTTTTTCCACCAAACCAGGTCATCGGTCGAAACATACAAATCATACTATGGTTTTTGTCAAGCACTAATCTGTGCATTAAAGTTCCGATGACGCCTGCCGTCTCTAGTTTTTTCACCAAACCAGGTCACTGGTCGAAACATACAAATCATACTATGGTTTGAGTTTCATTTCGGCTGTTTTATACTGAGGAATTCCAGACTTATGCCTCTCTTCCTTCTGGCAAAAAGGGAGCGCATCTGAGGGCTCTTATTTCCAGAGGAATGCAACCATAAATGCTGCCATGCCGGTTCGATCCGAATCCGTTTCGACCAGAATGAAGGTGGTGCTAAGCACGTTGTAAGTGCAAGTCTGTTATGTTACCTGAATAAGTATTTTCATCGTTCGTCAGCTACCACATGACAGAAAACTCGATTGGATGTTCCGTAGTCCGATGAACTGCGCAAATTACCTGGACACATCGGCAGCGGACCAATGCAAGGTTGAGATTCCTTGCCTGCTCCAACGCACTGTTCTCCTTGCGGACCGAGAGGGGCTGGGTTCAAGCACCAGCGTTGCCTAGTCCGTGCGGGAACAAAGATGTCTTCTTGGAGAGCAGAAGTTCCTGCAGGTCTGCAAGCCGGTTCGCATCCAGACCAGGAACTCCAGGATGTCCATCCACCCGAAATTGAACAGTTTGTTGTTTGTGCTGCTGGTCCCTCCATGCATTTCTTACCCTGTTGGCCAAATGGATAAGGAGCGGAGCAAAGTCGATATCTGCACTGACATCCATGAAGTTCCAATGAACGCGCCACAGCTTGTGCTTGCTGTGAATTTCTGTGTTCAGAAATCCAACCTTCCTTCTCTCCGGTCAGTCCAGACATACTGCAAGCAGACCATGCACTCCACGCTCCCCATTGTCCGTCGATTGAGAATTTCGGGTCCTTTTTCAAGTCTGGTGCACAGATATCGAATCTGATCACATGTTTGGTGTGCTCTGTTCGTGTCGTCAACCCCTCGCACCTTTCGGTTTGCATATTCCATCCGCAGTATGGATCTTGTATGGTCTCGCAAATTTCTCGAAGGTGCCCAACTAGTCCACAACGCGAGACTGGTAAACGAAATACGTCCGACTTGGTCACCACAATTAATGCGCCCGAGCTGGAGGACTTCAATGAAACAAAGAAAAGATGCACACCCATGTTTTTAAAACTGCAATCTAGGCGGAAAGCTGTGATAGGACCCAAAATGTCAAAAACTTCAATGGGCACGTGATGATTGGTATTGCAGAATTTCAGGTATAATGAGGAAAGCATTGAAAAATTCCAAGTGAGCTCGGCCATCGCTCGAGTTTTAGAAGAAAGTGGATGAAAGTCATGGTTTGAACTATTAGCAAAGTGATAGGTCTTTGTAGAGTATCTCCATAATCACTAGCAGCTGGATCTCAAGGAAGTTGCAAGGCATAGGTTGAAAGGAAACGTAGGCGCTTCGACAGCCCACGACCGGTTTCGCCCTTCTTGGGACTCATCAGGTAGGTGCAGTCTCCGAGTTTCCGTCAACCTTATGTTCAAATTACAAATATATTATTATATATATTATTACAAATATATATGTATCGCGATATCTTGAATATCGTAGCGACTAAAACATGAGGCGGCCTGGCGCAGTCCATTCAGTTACCTGGAAACATCACAAACGAGAGATTCAGCTGGGTTCCAGGTGAGTCTCTCGAAAAAGCAAATTAGTTTGCAAATGAGTGCATTTCGCTAAATCACCAAAAGTTTTATTGAAGGTTCCTTTGGAAAAATGCTGTAACGATTTTTCCAACGTTTTCGTTTCAGTCAGAAAATATCAGTCGTAGAGTTACTCCTTTCCTGTCAAGTGTTAGAGAACTGAAAATATTATAGAAACTGTAGAATCGGGTATAAAGGAAAACTTCTAGTGTGCAAACTTCGATTTTCCTAGTTTGTCATGATTTCGGATAATTTCAAGACGCAAATTACAAATTTACAAGCTTCCTTTGGAATCGTTTTACGGGGACTGATCAAACAACCAGGTATTCTGCCTGGACTAATACACAAATTGAAGAACTCTGCCAGAGATGTTGGAAGTTCCGGAGCACATTCCTTCTGAGTATCGGAACCAGGGGAAAAATACCTCTGTGCCGCATTAAATCCCGTTGGCATTAGAAAAACTAACCAGAATCGGTGCTTCACTAAACTTGGGAGGAAACTGAAGCCAGATGCAATGAATAAATAACGATAACGTTTATCTAATAAAGATTGCTCGTTATGGCCTCAGTATTGATCCAAATCTACTGACAAATTTCTAATTCGATTATCCACCCAAGCTAATGATGGCCGAGTTGCTCGGTTTCTTATCTTTTTCGTAAATAAAAGTATCAGCAACCTTGTGAGAAGTCTCCTTTGTGAAAAAAGAACAAAAACTTATCTGTCTACACTGCTAATGCCCCCCACCTTTAGTTTTCCAGGGCCATTTCACATAACGCAGGGGAAACCAGTGGTAGCCAAAAACATTTGCAGAACGAAAATGCAGATAGTCTTTGAGAGGTTCAAAATTCAGAAGGAGTAATCAAGATGTGAAAAAGTTGGACTTTAGGCTTTGTGAGCCTTTGTCTTGAGCGAGAAGGCTTTTCGAGACGACGAGTGTTAATAGGCTTCGTTGTTGCTTGTGCGGGTGGTTGTATGATGTATGTGCATCTAGATTTAACGAGATTGGTGGGAAGCAAACCACAGAACATTTAAAGATAAGGGATTCGGACAGTTAGACATATTCTAAGATGATGTACCAAACATTGGCTAGTAACCGTGACTTACGCCGGAGGATCAGATAGTTCATTTTCACGTACGACTCCTGAGACAAGTTGAGCCGATAAAAGGGTTACCGAAAATGCATGACGGGTCACAGGTAAACATACTGACTGAAGTGATTTATTACGTAATTCGATTGTGTAATGTTTCAGCACATACTCAATCATGGGTCCAAATAGACCGCTATTCAAGCAGCTGAACATCAGAGATAATACCAAAGCTAAGAGCTTTATCACTCATTATTGCTGATGGTATATGAAAGTGCTTTTATTGGAAGATTTTGTTTAACAGGAACTTAATGATAAAGACAATCTTCGGTTGGTAGTTTGCAGGTAAAACATCTTTTTAAAACTACGATCCTATTGAAAGTTTTGATAGTTCTCCAAACAGGTAAAGCCTCCCAGCAAGAAATGGCATAGACACTCCCGAGGGACGTCCATCGTTTCATACCAACATCGCAAATTTAGCACTAAGCGAACCAAACTAAATTTCACACTTTCGCGAAAACATGTGGACGCATACAGGATCTCTCCCAGCCGACGCGAATAAGATCAATGTGTTTTCAGTCCCAGTTCCTTTACGCTGCTTACGTCAGTACCGTCCTTTGAAACGCTGTGTTTAGTAAGACAGAACGAAGCGGTGGTAAAAAAGGGCACGTGTTTCAGACTGGCTGTAAGGGGTTTTGTCTTCGTCACCTAATTCGATCCTCACTTGTCTCCAGTGCCGGTTGAGCGGAACCGAGCGATGATCTTTCAAAAGCAACCTCTTGTAGCTTCTCTGCAAAAATCTCCTGTTCAGCAACTGATGTTCCTGCGACACCTACATTCTTGTTCTTCTCCGGGTCGTTTAACCCACTTATGTGGAATCTTGATATACAGCTGATAACTTGGTGTTTCATAAGTTTCACTCTTCGCTTCTTCACTTTTGGCGCCTACTCTTAGCAGAGATCCCTCATAATATTGCAGAGATTACCGAAGTGGATCACACTAAGAACAACCAAATAATCTATAACTCACTTTCAGCCACAATTTTGGATAGTTTATTACTGTGGATTTGGAGACCTTGTTGCTCGTCTCTGCAGTGATTATTAAGCTGATCAGTTATAGGCAATTAGGCGACAAATGTTTTTCACATATCTAACCTATCTTCCGGGTAAACTAGGCTTTAAGAGACCGCTGTCGACCAAAGTTTTCACTAGCGACGTATCGTGTCAAAGGAGAAGTTGAGCAGCCGAGTTTATGGGTCGCCACATATACGCCTGCCAGTCACTGTGTCATCGAATTATTCCACACAGAGTTTAGCAACAAACTGATCTTGTGCTGTCCATCATGCTCCACGTGCGCTGGCATAATTCGATGAAGCTAGTCACAGAAAACTCCTGACCGCTAAACGCAATAAAGCATTTAAAACTGCTTACCCACACAAGCGTCACCCAACAGAGGTTCTGTCTGCTAACGTGACCAACTAGGCGTTGTAAAATACCATTTTGAAGGTCCATTCGGAGGGACAGTTCTTGGTAAGAGACGCTGTTAACCGGATCAGCAGATATTCAATAAGAAGTCTCAAGAAGGACAACCGTTGGTGTCACTTTGGCCTGTAAAACGAACCTACAACAGTCCAAGGAGCATTCTTAGAGCATACGGCCACAGTCGGTGACTTGCTTCACAGTTGTGCACCTGTATGTCAACAGTAAATCTCATTTAAGAGTTGTTAACTGGACCGCCACAACCTAACCGATTGGGGGAGAGGTGTGTCCATGGTTCAGCAAGAGATGAAAGTATAGTGCCTGCTGAAACACGGACAATTCGTTCGGAACCACATGTAGCGTTGTGCGTTTTTTTTATAGTAGATTGTTGCTCGATAAGGCACAAAAATGTGAAAGGCGTACACAGATTATAAAGCATCTGATATCTTGTAGGTCATGGAGAAACAAAATCTAACTTTAAGTACTGTAAACTAATTTGCTTGGTCTTACTTTACTGTTCTTGTTGGCTGGCCAAATTGCCATTCCCACGATGTGTAGAGCATCCATAGGTTTTGACCGAAGCTGAAAGTGAATTTGCTCAATCAGGCAACTTTCACCCTTGAATACGTGCCACTTTGATAGGATACCTTTGGTGTCCATTGTGAAGAGTACTAAGTTGTTATCCGTTTTTGGCGTATGTGGTGCCCAGTCAACCACCAAACGAGACCATCTGCAACGAAATAAAGTAATTAATAATTGTTCTGCTGTAACACTTTTTCGGCGTCTAGCTACCATGTCTCCGGAAGGACGCACGAGTGCTACCAGTTTGCCCAAACCTAAACAAAAGCAGTCGAGATTCTTCTTTTTCGGAGCTACCATGTCTCCGGAAGGACGCACGAGTGCTACCAGTTTGCCCAAACCTAAACAAAAGCAGTCGAGATTCTGAGGTTGGTTTGGAACCACCGACCTGCCGGTCAGTAAGCTCGCACTTTAACCACTAAGCTGTTCGGAGCTTATCTGTATCGAAGATAGGATTCCAATGGGTATTATCGCAGTTATCAATAAAAATACGTAACTATTGGTAATGTTTTGGAATATTGGTAGCTCGGGTGTATTGGTTGGTAAGTGATCAGGTGGCTGTTGATCTGTTCGCCGAGCTTGGCAATTGATTTGCAAACGTTTCGTCACCATTCGAGGAGACATCTTCAGTGC